GTGAACTGCCAGCAGGGCCTCCTACAGGGTAGAGGCATGGAAGAGACTGCTGGGATTTAATCAGGGCTTAGGTGTTAACAAGGGAGTATGACGAAGGAAACAAGACCGGGGAGTGACTGTAATGATGGAGCATGGAATTTAAGTTAGATAAGGAGGGAAGTGAGGGCGCTGGGGGATGAGGGACAGTGGAAACATGGCAGGGTCATGATGTGGGTCCTGATACAGCCAAACAGGGACAGGGGGAAATAAGAAAGAGAGAGGTGGAGAACCCTTTTTTTTTTTTAACTGACAAGGCATATGCTGGGCAGTGGGGTGACCAAAGAGAGTGGTGAACAGCCCTCTGGCAGTGGCAGTAGCAGCACAAGCCCTTCCAATGTACTACTAGCCACTCGGGATGGATGTCATGTATGAAACAGTGGCACACAGGAGACTTTCAGAGACAGCCACAGAACTGCAGTGACACTTAAGCAGGGAAGGGACTGGTGTATTCCAGATAGAAGGACCAGAACAAAGATATCACTCTAGGAAAAAGGAAGGCTTACTGAGGGGAATGGTTAGTACCTAGAATGGCTAAAGCATTTTTTCATTCTTTAAAACAAAACCTTTAACTTTTTCCCATGTTGCGATACGTCTCAGAACGGTTTTCTATCACTGAATATTTCATAAGAAGATATATGATAACTTAGCCATTGTAATATATTCTTAAACTATGACTGAATATTTCCTAAGATGTATTATAAGATATATTATAATTCAGCCATTTCCCTTCACTTGAACTTTAAATAAAACCAAATTTAAAAACTGTCTACACTGTTTTTCTTCTTTTTTTCGTTTGAGATGGAGTTTCGCTGTTGTTGCCCAGGCTGGAGTGCAGTGGCGCGATCTTGGCTCCACTGCAACCTCTGCCTACCAGGTTCAAGCAATTCTCCTGCCTCAGTCTCCCAAGTAGCTAGAACTACAAGCACGCCACCACGGCCGGCTAATTTTTTGTATTTTTAGTAGAGATGGAGTTTCGCCATGTTGGCCAGGCTGGTCTTGAACTCTTGACCTCAGGTGATCCACCTGCCTTGGCCTCCCAAAGTGCTGGGATTAGAGGCATGAGCCACCGCGCCCAGCCTACACATAGTTTCAGTAACATCACCGTGCATGGAGTGGTTCCTCCTCTTTTGAATTATTTTCTTAGGATAAATTCCCAGACAGGAGATTATCATAGCACCAAAGGGCAGGAACACTTTAATAACTTCACATTTTCCAAAGAGCTGCACCAATCTGCACTGTCACTAGAATAAAGGTACAACTGTTTCACCATATACATGGTGTGGTACAACTGTGGGGTGAGCACACTCACCGATATCCTGTCTTGGAACTCTGCCGTGGGTACAATGGGAATAGTTCCACCATGCTTTCCAAATTTTCTTTCTAAACTCTCTTGAACAGACACTATAGAAAAAAAAAAAAACAAGAGATCAAGATATTGCTAACA